CGGCACTAAAAGGGTCCCTCGACTGTACCGGAAAGAAGGCAGTGCAGTAGCATCACAAACCCATAGGCACATTTCTACAGCCGTAGCGGCCATGCTGCTGCTACAATCTGGGGTATCCCAAGCCGGTGGAGCCAGCATTTCCCTGTTGCGCCAAAGGTGGTGCTGAACGTCGTACATTGTACAGCACGCACGGGAGCGTTATTCCTGCTCACGGTGGCGCTCAGCGGCATGTCTCATACTGTTAGACCCTGGGGTTACCCCTATTTTGAGGCCAAAAATGTGTCCCAAACCGGGTGAACTTTTCGTGGCAAATAGACTGCGCTTTTCCTTCTTGGACCAATAAAAACGTTCGGAATTTGAATCAAAATAAAAAGACACACGAGCACACACGAACAGACTGGACAAATATGGTCAAGCGCGTTCACGCAGCAATGCGCGAGGTGGACACCCGTCACTGCGCTCACTGAGGCTGCTGGCACACACAAAAAGCCAGTACCCCACAGCCCGACCGGTTCGACGGCGAACCCGCCCGCTTCGACGGCGGACCCGCCCGTGCTGTTGCCGAAAAAAAGAAAAAGGGCAACGGGCAAACAGCAGGGCGGTTGTGAGAGCGGGAAAACAAAAAAAATGCGCGCTGCTGCTGCTCCTGCTGTATTTTCTCGCTCTCAACACCAAGTCTGTCGATGATAGCAGCTGCATGCAGCTTCGCCTGCCTCTCTTGGTATCGTCCTGCTTATGTTGGTTCTATCAACCTGTAGGACTCGGAGGCATACGAAGTAGTCGCACTAGAAGGGAACAGCAAAGCCAAAAACACACGAGGGCAAAGATACTCACACACGCACGCACGCACCTTTTTCTTCAAATTATCATTTCTCGTCTCGGCAACCTTTCCCCACGCCGACGCCGCCTCCAGCTCCCTCCTCGCTTGCTCTACCTCCATCCGGGTGCGGATGAGCTGGTCTTTCGCGGAAAGCAGCGGATTCCGGTTGTGCTGCTGTTGCTGCACCGCCATCACTGTGGACAAAAAATCTCAACCATCTCGCGCTGTTGATCTTGACGCATTTTTTTCTCCAACCGCAAGTTTCCCAGCTGGGTCAGGACGATCGCCACCGCCTCTCCATCAGCAGCCCTCTGCTCTCGCGCCAACAGTTGTCGCTCCTCTTCTGCGGCCTGCTCCGCCGAGTTGCGGACTCGAGCCTCTCTACGCTTCGCCAACTGAGCTTTTTTGAGTTTCTCGAGGGTAGCAGCGGCCGTACGCTTCAGGGTAGGGTAGTCGGCCTTCTCGGCAGCCTTGCGTGCGCGCCCAGCCGTCGCTGCGTCCGCAAACGTGCATCCTTCTCTCTCGAGAAGAGAAGTCGTGAAGTTTTTGAAGATTTTTTTTTTGGACTTGACGCGACCCTTGTTTTTACCACCGCCCTTAGCCATAGGAGGTGATCTGGTAATCAATGCCACTCGTCGGCTTCTAGGTCAATCGGGGATCGTTTTTTTTAGCTGTGTGCGCAGAAACCAGAGCTAGAGAAGTAGCGAAGGAGATTTTTGACCCTCGTCTCGGTATTCGCGCCAGCTGCGTCAACAGCCGAAATTTCCGTCGTTTCGGGATTTTTCAACCATCAAACGGAAATCGGCTTCGCTACTTCTCTAGCTATAGCATGATTACAGGTGATTGTAGATTGAGAAGAGCCATCTCCTCGCCGTCTTCGCGCATTTTTGATTGCCAGTTCCTTGTCTTTGCTCAAGTAAGTAGGACTGCTGTCTGTGTGCCCCCTTCAAACAAACAAAAAAAAAATCTATTCGCAGCATGCCGTTTTTTGTTGTTCCGCAGGGGGGTAACCCCAGGGTCTAACTGTACAAGTGGTGGATGATAACGATTGCCTACCATTCCTTCATGAAAACTACTTCAGCGGTAGGTGATACAGCTGTCGGAGTGCATTTCTCCATACATACGATCGTGCCTTGCTGCTGGCGGGCACAGCTCTCGAGTGCAACTCGCAAATAATTCTGGATTGGACACATTCAGCCCTGAAAAAGACGCAGCATACGGGAGGTGCATGTGTTTCCAGTGTGTGCATTTCAACACGACATGCCCAACATGCAAAATAACAACGCCCTCTACAACGCCATAAGTGAGGTACTTTGGTTCATCGACCACTGCAACGTGAAGCCAGCCAGCGCAACAGCTCGGCAGCAAATACAAGTTCAGCTCGGCATGTGCTGGCTTTACGTAAGGAAATCAATCACAGCGGCACAGCACTGCAAGCAGCAGTTTAGGCCGCAAGCACACAAGTATGTTCTACCTTCGTCCGACCCCAAGTTGAGTTGAACGTCCCGACTCCACAATCTCTTGTCAACGACGGGTCCTTGCCAGGGCAGCGCGGCAGCACCTCCGAGGGCACTGCTGAACAAGTATTGATAAATTTGCATACTTGTAATTTTCTGTGAAATTCCGTGTAGGTTGTAGCACATCATCATTATCATCGATCGACCCAACACGGGGTTCCTTTCTTCCCCTCGCTGCCTCGGCAAGGTTTTGCGTAGGCATGACCCATAGCGAGGGGGGGGGGGGGGGGGGGGGG